AATACTCGCCTTTCTCACCGTCGACATTTGATTGGAACTGATTCATGGGACAATTAAAAAGATCTCAATGAGTACGCTCACACCGTACGTACATTTTTCTCTATTATTGAATAGCGTAGATGCTTATTAGTTCGAGCATCCGCCGAACAGACCATTTGAACATTCAAAGTGGCGGTTCTATGCTATAAGCTACGACGGTTTGTCTTTCAGTTGAAGAGCACAGCACAGACTGGACGGAAACACAGCGGAATATCAGGGCACGGAAACGTATGAAGAGTGAAACGCGATTACCGGGTGGCGAGAGGAAGGGTGGGAAGGTCGTCAAAGGAGAATACATCAGCAGGTTAATTAATCCAACCGGTTGGAGATTTTTCGTGTTCAAACTTGACGAGAAGTCACAGATGTTTGGCCGGGTGTCAAAATGTACTTTTTATTTGTCCCTTTTAGGTGATCACCACCTTACCATATATGACGGCCCTATTTGTTGCTCCTTTGCACCGTCAGAACTCACGCTCTAAAGCACACATACACACACACACACACACACACACATCTTTTCACTGCGATTACCACAACAGCAAAGACAACAAATTATTCCATTCCAGTTGGTAATATTTTGCAGTCAAACGAAAAGAAACAGGACATCTGCCGAACAGAAAGATGAACGAATTTCGTCACGGCTTCCTATACTCATCCAAAAAGATTATCTTGGATAGTAAAAGTTGATTCTTTTTTGAGAAGGTAAAAACATTCTATCAGCTGACAGTATATTCAATTGGGTAAGCAGTCATCAGTTAGGGATTAGGACAACAGGATACACTCGTGTTACCCAAGCTGAGTACTAAATTTCCGGATCCAGGAGAACATGAGCCACCGTGTCCGATTCGGTGGAACTTCTAATAACCTCACGACCATCAACCATTTACCTTTTGCATCACGTTAATAGAGTCCGGCCCTGAATGATTGCATCTCACAAGCGTTAGAGACAGAGAGTGGATAACCACGGTAAATGCTATACGCGTATGTATGTAGTTCACAAGCTTTTAAATCTGGACTGTGTCAAACTAATAATAGTACAATAATCTCTGTAAAAAGAGAAAGTTTCACGATTTGTTTGTGAGCGAAATACCGCCAGACTGCCAAGCCCAAACCAGGTGATTTTTCCGAAGGAAATCACAACCGGAGCGTGCGACTAGCCCCGCAAGGCAATGTGTGAAAACCGCAATCTATTGGGGGCCGGTATTTATCAGATCATGCACCCTTTAGACGGGGTCAGACGTCCAAAATGCCCAATGAACCTCGATGCCCAATCGAGTGAGTGACTACTGCTTCAACCAAGGTGTAGAGAGTNTAGAGAGTGTAGTTCGTACGCCTCCTCTTGGTTGGTTTAGAATCAGGGTTTTTGGTCAACTTTCCTGGGTAGATTACCGGTAGTCCACCAACCCGGTTATAGCCCTGGATATATGCTTTTCGTCTTCCTACTTTGATGGGAAAACTCCTTGGCCAAGAGAAGGTCGTGAGTAGGCCTTCCTCAGCAGAGGCTGTTTGAGTCTGTTGGGTCCTATAGGAGCATTCCCCAAAGTGCAATAGAGGGATGACCTCTCACAACACAAGACACCCTGCTCGACCGTACNGGCTCTCGGTAAATTCTACCAACGAATTGCTTTACAAATGTGACTAACTAAGAGGCAACCCACTCAAGCTGATGCAATAGTCCAACTGTGGTCTACCGTAGATAAATGGATTTTTATCAAGTGCGGATGAAAAATGATCAGATGATACGTTTCTTGAATCCTCAGCTAGATCTCTCGAGCTAGCCCCAATCAGCATGTCGTCTTAAATAACCATACCATCACACAATACGGTTTCATTCAGCTTTCACGAATTCTGAGAGTATTTCAAGTGTCTGTTACATCTACCAATTAAATCGGATTTCCGTAATGTTGACTTGTGATAAAATCATGGAATCGTAAGGCCAGATTGAAAGATGATACAACCGTTTTCACATTACTCATCGATTTTTATATCTCCTTGCCGCATCGCTTCTACCCCAATAAACTTTTGTGGATTCTTGAGCGCTCGCGACCTCAGGAATTAAAGTTATCGACTACTATACTAGCGCGACAAGTCCTCGTGACTAATGAGATGGATAAGGGAGAGGGAGGGTCATTCAATCCTTATTAAAACATGCCGAGTGTAATAAAATCTGTCAAGTGCTTTGTCAGAGAGTGCACAAGTGTTGTTGCTAAAACGTGAATAAAGCAAGACCCTTGGCTAAATCTTTGTCAGTAGCTCAAGCGCCACCCGATCCTCCCCATGCACACAGTTGCAAACTTAATTGACTGGTGTGAAAACCAACCCTTACAATAAAGTATTTTACCAACCAACGTCTTTGTTTCAACAGGCGGGCGACAGAAATTTTCACTCAGTCCTGTAGTATGCGAAATTCTCGTGGTCACATAGCTCTACATACAACACTCGCGTGCCACGCATGACTATCCGGTCTGGGCCTCTCATTTGAGCGGTGGTGTCTGACTGTTGGCGGTTCGTGCTCAGGACAGGTCAGTTTGTCCTAACTAATACGGATGAGTCAGCTACTCGCACCGTATTGCCAGCAGGAAAGAACACGGCTGTTTCGTTTGTGGGTGGTCTAAACACACACACACACACACACACACACACACACACACAGAGAGAGAGAGAGAATAGCGAATGACTATTGGCAGTTGGTCGCGTGTGCACATACACACCTGATGAGGTGCAGTGGCGGACCAAGTTAGAGAAGGATCCCATTAAATTTCACTTTAGTTAAACGTAATAGAGTGCAAAAACTCACTATTGAACAAGACAGCGAGAGGGAGAGATTTTAATCCGTCTTTCAGAGTACTTGAAAGAAAAAAGAATCACTTCACTAAAGTTAACCTCATGCTGTGAAGGAAATGGAGGCTCCAACGGGGCACGAAAACAATTTTGAGACATTCGAAACCATGAGTGGTGAGATGAGCCTGTGGAAACAATTGATTCATCGAACCTCATGTATCGTGGACCTTATATCACCAATTTACAGTACTGTGCCAAACATTGACAGTGTTGATCTTTGGAAATAATCATCTTGGAAATAATCCACGGAAACATTGGATCCAGGAAATTCACACAAACAGTTTGCGATAAATGATTACTGGATGTGTCTTTGAAAGTCACAACATTTATACAATTACAGCACACGTAATATCTTTCGCCCATCGAATCCCCAAAAAATCGCGATGGTTGTGTTCATGCCCCTTCTTTACACAAACACACGCATCCTCCACTTTACAAAACAAATAATTTGATCGGTTTTGAGTTCATCATACTCCCAGAACCAGTTTCTCTGTCATTCCTTATGAATTATAAAGTCAATTCGAGAAGACGTGATCCTAATATCGTCGATAGTCAGAATTTGTGGGCTGCTGTCTACGCCCTACAAACCACCCACGAAACATAGTCTTCTATGGCATCTCTTGTCAGTCCGGTTTTTTGGGGTACCCTGGTGACACGAAACGGAATGCCACCCTACCACTAGGGAAAGAGAAAAAATCGCAGAAACCGAAGGACGAGATGTCTGTGTGGACACCTGCTCTCAGTATTGCAAAAACAAATACGGAACCATGATTAGTCTGTTGATATCGGAATGCTCTTATGACGATCTCGCCAAAGATACCGAAGTCAATATCGAAAAATGGAGGAACGAAATAAGTTTTTGTAAATATTCATCAATATTCCAGGGATGAATTACAAGGCCTCAATTCTTCGTCTTGATGTACAACACAAGCACCGGATTTAAAGCAATATCGAATTCTTCTTTCTAATTCTCCCCCGAAAAGCGTGCTGTTCTTAGGGGAAAAGATGATTGAAAGTTATAAATGCGAGACCTGGAGATAGTCACTTGAAATGGATGGCCAGCCGCTTGTGTGCGGGATCTACGAGGGAGAACAATCGGTAAGCGGAAGCGAAAAGTTCACTAGAGCAAAATCCAAACTAGTATCTAAAGAAGCGACCGTCCGACGGTGAACCAGTGACTGCAAGTTACATGTTAGGGACGGGTCGTTGATGGTCTTATGTTGAACCCGATCAAGAAGAAAGAGAGGTGGGCAAAGCTCCACCGCGCACATGACTGCAGTATACGAGTCTAGGGCGAATCTGAGCAATGCAGTAAGAATACATGTGGCCATATCCACACCACGGATATAATTATTGAAGCAAGTTTCTCATTGAGATTGACACCTTCCAACTGTATCCAGTTTTGGTGATTAAAATCAACAACCGTGCCTTGTTCGTAAGTAAAAGTTGTCAGGGTTCCGGGTCATAGTCGTCTTCGTTTTTCACCCTCGGAAGCATTAGCTTTATAGATTGATTACTGTCAAACTACACCAAGAGTGGAATGAAATTCCAATGACTTCATTTCAGGATGATTCACCGGCAAAAATCATCCTCCAGACTCTTTCGCGGATTGTGAACACATAAACGGGATACTGGGCTCCATTTCACGCAGTATATAGCTTGTTTTTCTACCACCATAGAATGGCCCAACTGTTAGTTGACCAATTTGGAATCTACATTTACCCTTTGGCAAGCCCATTTGCCATACGATTGAGTAAAATTTTAAATTTTCGATAAATAGCTCTGGGAATAAGAGAGGTATCGTAACTGGTCCATGAGGGTACAGATGAAATAAGAGAAACCGGCGTGGGAGACCAGGTGGTTTTCTTCTAGAAAGTGATTGATTTCAAAGGAATTTGGAAACAGAGAAAAAGTATTCCGTTTTCTTATCGTGGTAACTATCGCCGTTGCAGTTTTAATTGAAAAATAAATCACATCTTCAGAATGACCGTAACATAACCAAACTTAACGATAATCACAAAACAACACAAAATATCTCAGGAAACAGTTTGATACATTTAATGTCTTCATAAACTAAACCAGTCCGGTATGCAATATGGACAGCGGTGGCTGTAATTCACTCAAAGCGACAAATCACACTTACTCTTGCATCGATACCCATCCACATCCAGGTGACCCGACGGCTCAAGTCTAAGCAACGTACAGTTCTTATCACTGGATCCCTGCTCTAACTTTCCAACAGTACCGTTTCGTAGTCCACCAACCAATTCCGATGGATCCGCAAATGTGTCTGTAAACGGGATAAATCGCGCGCGCATGTTCTCCTTCTCGGCCATCTCAGCACCGATGTAGTCCGCATCGAGCAGAGCGCGAAAGGTGTCCGACGGTAAATTATGCGCACGCATGTGGCCAACTGCACGGACCGGATCCGTCAGCAGACGACGATCAACACAAGTGGGAGAGGGTACCAGATGAGTTGTTTGATGCGTGACGTGATACGATGGGTCCGTGGTCACCGTAGCCACAGCGGAAGTGGTTGTGGTCAAAGAGTGGTTGTTAGAGTTGGTCGAACAAGAAACAAAGGCTGAATTGTTCAATGACGTTCCCAGTACATCGAGAGCACTGGCTACGGCTGCAGCTGCGACTGCTGCTGTTCTGAGGTTTGACTGTGTGAAATCCGAGTTCATTCGTCCTACTAGCAGCATGCGTGGAACACTCACAGAAGTGGGTTATCTGCCCTCACAACTGTCAAAGTCCAGTACACATCCATCGAGTTGGTCATGCGGTACGATCACAGGTTGAGTGTGGTGATGGCTTGGCTGAATGAAATTCACAGAATCAAGATCAATTTGTGTGTATTCGATTCCTAGTCTGAGGAGGAATTTTAACCGTGCTGATTCAAAGCCTCACGATAACAAAAACATGACATGGCAGAGAATACAGTGTGCTCAGAGGCTGGTCATTTGTGAAATTGTTTCCTCCGCCGGAACGATAGTAGTCGATTCTCGCTTTGTCGCTCGCCGGTAGATTCACTGCACTATCTGGCGTGTTGTCGACTCCTTAGTATAGCTAGCTATCTGGCCTTCACGCGGATGCACGCACGTACGCACACAGGCACATATTGAAGCACACAAATACAAACGCACGTAGGACACGCAATTAGTTCACACGCGCGCACGCACGCACACACACGGTCGTGGATACACTTCGCTAAAGCCAATGTGAATATACACACACGTTTTCACATGAACACTAGATAGCTCATGCACACTCACACACACACGGCACACACGCTGACAAACAAACATGCATATTGTGTTGTTGATCTCATGATGACAGCGAAATACCGTGGGAACCTCACTGTGAAGACAAACGATAGGCCTGCAGCTGTCCAGACCATTAGTTCCCACGCTCTCGTTCACACGGTCCCGGGGCTTATGTATATGTGGAGCGGTTCGTGTCTCGTAGGTGTGTATATATGTGTGTGCACACTCGCACTGCGCACCGTGCCTCGGGTGCGAGAGACGACGGTGTTCCATCGCCTAGCCTCGCCCTATTCCTCGCGTTCACATCATTTGAGCGGCGACCCCCGCACCTGCCCACCCCCGCCATGGGAACTTAGCCTCACGACCATCATCACCACCACCAGGCCTGGCGACATCAACGCACAGACCCTATCTTTACGCTTAAAGTTGCCAGTGGAAGAATAGGTGAGGTAGGGCGGGGGATTTCAATGAATTGGGTATACACCAAACTTGGATTGTCCATTGCGCACACCAATCGCGTAAGCACAAGCAAACTAATACACACACACGCATCGTGTTGGGTACACACACAAACACAATGAGACCTTCCCTCCCCCTCCTCATTCTTCTCTAAACCCTTTTAACCCCCAGAGGGCTAAACGGAGTAGACGAGCTATCGTGAGATAGAGAGAGAACCAAAAAAGAGAACGGGAGCACGTTGCCGAGGCTAGGCCGTGGGACTTGAGCTGTCCGTCGGGATGACTGAGTAGGCCAACGCGTGTGAAAGGAAAAGATGGAGAAGCGACGGTAATGGATACGTGAACGAATGAGACAATATCGCACCAAACGGCTTTGACCGGAAGGAATCGTGATCAGGTTGGTCGGTATGTCGACAAGTCTGCTGTTGATGCGTGGAAAACGGCCCTTGTTGCATCGGTGTGTGTGTGTGTGTGTGTGTGTGTGTACACCAGGGCGTGATCATTAGGATTACGCAGGTATGACAATGATAGCATTCGCGGCAATTTGTTAAGAAAAGCTAACTTCAAACACAATTCAGTCGTATTGTAAGCAAGCTGGAGCTGGAGCTGAAACCGTACTAGAGGAGAACATTCGATTGACGCCTGTAATCATTGATAGGCAATTGAATAAACGATGCAATTGAATAGAGGATGAGACAATATAAAGATAAGTTTATCGGTTTAGGCCCAACGACCGTATCGATATTGATCAATGGGGTATCATACACCGAGGTGTGCGTATTTGCATGTGTGTGGGCTTGGTCATTACTTGGATCTTCATATTCGCAACACGTGCCATCGGTATCCGCTTGGACAAATCGGTGATGTTTAACGTCTCGACGGACCGAAAACATTGAAAGTAGCAGATGAATATGTATGATTCCAACTACAGCTTAAAACACTTAGTCTCGTAACGAACCACAGATGAGCATGAGATTGTATCCGCGAGATAAACAGATAACAAACTGTAAAAATATTTATTCTATACTGCTTTTTCATTGCACAAAATAATCGCTTCTAATGAGTAATCGATATTGTGTGCTCATTGGTAACATTTCCTGCCATCAAGTAAATAATGTAATAAACGATTCAATTATTAACCCTAGCATTCATGAAGATTTATTGTGTCAGGAGTATAAAAAACCGCACATAAAATTCCAATGTTATCATGAAACTGTCTCTTGTGAGCACTTCATTTTGACGCAAAACTAATTGGTAAGTGACAAATTGAATTCCCATATGGTCAAAACATTCTAAGCGGTCATTTATGACCGACAGAGCTCAGTGGATAACAGACGTCGCTTGCTTTGCCCCTCGGTATGTGGCGGTATTACTCAAGTGAAAATTTAATTTATAATTCCCCTGAATTTCTTCCAATCTCAGACCTTTCTGCGGTTTCACTTTTCATTCCCTCAGCCCTTGTGTTGCTATCTACAACCGCTCCTGCGGCTATTCAGTCTTCGATTATGGTGTTTTAACCCCCATTGATATTTTTCGGGACGTAACATGCCCACACAACCTATGAACACATTCTTTCTGTTCATATGTTGTGGCACATTTGCCGGTTCTCTGTAATTGGTTGCGCGTTGAGGCTTGTTCAGGTTCGTGCCGATAGGCATGCTTGTGTCTCTCTGGCTTGTTTCGCCTCGAAATCACTAAAGCAAAGAAATCCTTTCCGGTCAATCTGGTATATGCCGATGAAAGCTAACTGGAATCAAGACTAAACACCAGAGATCAGATAGAATAAGCACGGGAAGCAATGTGGCAGTCTACGTGTGGTTATATCCAGATTCTGAAATTTTCACCACACCAAATGGAATGCGACTACTCCCACTTGAATGATATCGGCAAAACGATACAACACTCGTTTGTCGTAATAACATGAGTTCCTATGTTTTAACGGTAATCGATGACCACAAGAGTTTCTCCAGGATGTAGTCTGTATGAAACACTGTACCAGTTCGGAATGTCACTTGTAAAACAATCGATTCGCCGGATGAACAGTACATCATAATCAATTACCGCGTGGTTGTTGTAGTTGCAATTGTTTACTCTCCAGCTAAGACAATGGCAATAAGTCGAGGTTTTCGGTTTCGTTCCGATCACCTTTTTTTCTCGTACCACCGGTACTCCAAGTTTCAGACAAGATAAATTTCAGTTCAGAACAAATTAGCGCGTTTAAAGTTGCACGTTGTTCAGACAGCTGTTGTACATGTGCCATCCATAGGCATCATGTTGACTTAACGAAATGCGTGACGCTCGGGCGGAATCAGTCCTCAAACACCTTTAGACCGTCATGCGCTGGAGCCCGTCTTCAGCCCCATTCTTCACTACGTCAGTGTGTTTGCTCCTTTAATCACCTTAGTCTGGACACACTTATAGTTTTAGTTGCGCATTTCTTTTTCTGTTTTCTAAACGATAAAAGATGAAAAAACATCCATGCCTATCATGTGTGCATGATAGGATGTCCGGAACAAGAGAACTGCATTTCAGTGAAATGCACTTTCTCTCATGTTAGGCGCAGGACACCGGATTCCCTACTTCGTATGTTTCAACCAGAATTCCCTCTGATCCTATTGAACCACTTAGCTCCAAACGGTTCCCATGGTGAACTCATTACATACCAGTGTTTTTCTTCAAATCAGTTGCATTCCATTTTTCTTAATGAGGTGAAGCTTATCAAACCGCCATCGTTCACCACATAAACGGCTAATTAGAATTGTATCAGTCGAGTCAAGTTTGATATGGACCGATTACTTTCTCTACACCTGTTGGTGAATAGCTAGAACAACTGAACCGTTTTCGCATTCGTTCAGTCAATTTTTCGGTTTAATTCGATAACTGGTACTGTACACATCGAGAGATCATCAACAGTTCATTTTTTCCTGGGAAAGGTTATACTACACTGATCAACGTCATCTCATAAATTCGGGAATGTATAGAATAAAAATGGTGGGATTGCGCATGAATGGAGGTTGGCTATGGTGTTTCAATATTAAAGAACAATGAAATACTTATTCCTGTATTTAACGATGGATACATTTTTGATTGTAAAGTGAGGGGAGTGAAATTTTTGAAATATCTCTGCTAAAAAGACTTTGGGCTTCTACGCGATTTCCCTCGAATATGAGCAATTTTTCTGTGATGCGCAGGAACTTCTCAAAGCTAGCATGAAAGGACAGAGGGAAGTGGACGGATCAAGTGATAAAATCCGAACCACGGTAGATATGCATGACAGTTTACGATAAAGTGAGACTGACTTAGTGGGTCCAGATAGGGTCTAATCGTCTGGGAGCATCATTTTATGATGGATGATCATATATGCATGATCGATACTCCAAAAATTTGTTCATTGACAGATACATGATTGATAACTATCAAGATTTCTCGAAAGGATGGAGTCCTTTGCATCGGCCGATTTGTGGTGTTTGTGATGGGGACTCTGCTTCATTTTAAGCGTGAAAAGTTTTCTTTGTGCCAAGGTAGTCGTTGTAAGATTTTATTTGTTTATTATTCTCTACTCATCCTAGGTGCCAACTTCGTGCTCGGTCGCAGCAAGACCCCACTGAGAAGGTGTACATTAGGATCTGGTAAGGTGCGGTACTTTTAATGACTGCACCGAATGAGCACTATATATAGATTATCTAGTTACGGGGGATCAACCAGAATAGCTCAACTAGTCACGGTCGTACCCCCTCCCCCACCTTCCATATCCGGGCTCGAATGCCGCTGATTCCGGTGACAATCAGCAATAGCTAATTCCTAACGGCTTAACAGGGCATCAAGAGCCTTTTATTGTTGAGTCATTTGTGGACTCCACATGACGAACACATCTTGCATGAAAATTTTCTTACTTTGTAAACCCTCATGTCTTTAGACAAACCAATAGCTTGTAAGTGAGTTTTCCTCTTTCTATTCTCCCTTGTATGTTCCATGGGCTGT